CGACGATGTCCATGCCAGACACCACGCCCAGCAGGTGTTCGGATGAAATGCTAGTGAGCTTATTTTCGAACGTCATGTCATTCTTTTAGAGTATGAAGGATGGCAGGGTACTCGACCATGAAGGATGAGTTGTTGTGCAATGCATGGTTGGCCATGTTCGTGGATTTCGTAGGCAGGAGCAGAAGGGGGCTCTTCTGGCAGCTCTTGCATGATTCGTTTCACACGTGAAAGCACATTGCACCCTACGACATGCACATCATCCACATCCTTCTTGAAAGCGTTGCCTTGGCATGATCCACCTTCTTCTTGTTTGTGTACTAGCGGAAACCCTAGGTCCGCTTTGGAGATGCCATTTGAGTACAGGATTAGAAGAACACTTTTCGGGTGCTGATGCCATTTCTTAAACATTTGGCATATGTATAAGATACAACCTATTGGACTATACATATTGTCTTTTGAATTATGCAATCTCTTATTAGGTCTCTAATAGTCGCTAGTATTATAGTGCATGATACCCCTTTAATTATCACATTTGCATTTCATAGTATAGTGGCCTAGTATAATTTTGCCATCTCAATTATTTACTTGTTTTTGTTGAATCTCAATATGAAGTGTGTACAAGATCTTTTTGTGCTTAAATTTTTTCGTTATGGGGTATGATACTATATATTATCACCTCACTCTTCTTTAATTATAGTGCAACATCATCTCAATATTTACGTGGCACCACAAAAACTTTGGGAGTGGTCTTAAAGGGACAATAATGTATAGTCCATTATAATTCATTAATTGTAAGTGCATATATCGTGATTATTCTTGAATGAGAGCAGCCATTGCATATGCATCGGCTTTCATCAGGAGTAGGTGCACTTCGTGCATGCATGCACATGGGTGTGGGTCGACGTGGCGACTGGCAATAGATCCAATCCACTAGGCATGACCTACGTTAGTTAAGACGGCTTTTACAAGTCTTGAGATTCAGTCAATCATTATGCTCCCCCGCACCCAGAGTGTTCTTCCTTTGTGTACACTGTTTAAGTAATCATAGTTTTTTTTTGAAAACCCCTCCCATATATTAATTAATTAAAAATGTTCATACAATCGTCTATTACAACTTCAGCCACGCAGGGCGGAACACTATTAAGACTCACACCATCAGACCTATTAACAAAACTGAATTTAGCAATTTCATGCGCCACCCTATTGGCCCTTCTGTTAAACTTGGAAATCTTGAAACTTGTCATCAACCTGAAAATGCTCAATGCTTCCATCTTCAGATCAACTAGGGAAGACATGTCCAAATAATCATAGTTTTCTTTAAACTAAGTTAACTAGTAAACTAGAGATTTTGATACAATAACTACCTTTGTCCTGATTTATTAGTTCCCTTGTATTTTGGGTCAAATTTTAATCTTTGATTTAACTATAAAAACTTAGCTATATACCAAAGAAATAGCATCACTAAAACTTCTTTCAAATATGAATCCAACCAGACATACAACTAATATTTTGTTGGTCAATTCTATGGTAAAAATTTGACACAAAATATGAGGGGGCCTAATAAACCCGGATCAAGGTAGTAACAACTAGAGATGTTCTACGGAAAGCGTGTGCGTGGCTCCTTCCCAAGGCGACACAACCAGCGACAACACTTAGCCTCATAAGCCTCTACCTCCTTCCTATCGTTGTCGCGGCAGCCTCCGCCGATGGCGGAGGGGCCTGTTTCACCTCAGTGGGCAGCTCACTTGAGAAAGGAACCTTACAACATCGGGTGGCAAGCGGCACGTCGTCGGTCACGGGCCTTGTCTGGTGGTACGATGGAAGCCCATCATTGGTTCAAGGATCTTTGGACAAAGCTTTCTGACATCAACCTCAACGAGAATATTGTGGATGCCATCATTTGGAACAATACTCTGTCGAGTACTCTACATCTTCGGTCTACCTAGCCCAACTTCATTACCAATGTGACTCCCCTTTGAAGTCGTCGGTGTCAAAATTTTCGGTCCCCTCCAAAGCATAATTTTTTGCATGGCTCATCATTCAAGACCGAGTGTAGAAGGCGAATCGCTTAAGCTGAGGGACTGGCCAAATTGTGGACTTTGCCAATTGGGCAAAGAGGGAGTCAGAGACAACGACACATATTTTATTCAACTGTAGATCAGTGGTGAAGTCAGCCTCAAAAATCTGTGGGGTCATTGCTAATTTTTTGAATTTTTTTCTTCACAATGTACAGTGTGTGTACAACATTTTTAGGGTGTTTTCCTTAAAAGTTCTGGGGTCAGCTGACCCCGTAGCTAACACATAGAAACGCCATTGATATAGATACTCAAGGAGCATCTGGAGCGAACTGGAAGATGGCTTGGGCTATAGCATGTGGACTTCGACGGATGGAATAATTTCATCTCGGTCAAGGAGTGGTGGATCTCCACGATCAACGCCCGCGGCGGCACCAGAAAAGGCTTGGCCTCGCTTGTTATGCTTGTATCTTGGGAGCTTTGGTGTGAGACGAGTGCTCACATTTTTAGGAATGTCTCGTTGATGCCGAGCACACGTGTTACCGTCCGAGGCCGCTCTTTTGGGTTTGGCAGGTGCAAATCATCTTAGATCTTTGATGCCGCAAGAGTAGTATACTTATTCATAAACTCTCTTTTCAATTAATGAGACGAGTCAAAACTTTAACCTCCGTTTTGAAAAATGTAAATACATACTCCCTTTTGTCTAGGTGTGTAAGTCATCTTTCGAAAACCAAATAATCCTCAAACACTTAGGCAAGGTACATTATCTCTCTCCCCGTTTCTTGTCTCGTGACATATCAACCAATAAGAGATGTCGGCCGTGCATGTTTTTAATGGCTTAAGACTTTCAAACATGACATGCAGTGATTAATTCATTGCATGCAATGCTATTAACTAAAAAATTAAGTTTTCTTGTTTTTTCCTTCGCCTTGGTCGCGATGCACAATCTAAGATGACTTATACACCTAAACGGAGGGAGTACGACGCTGCTGGTTGTTGTCTGAAATGTATCAAAGACGTCCATGCGATAGAAACATGCATGATGCTATAATGATGAGACCATGCGCACTGATTGAGACAAACCAAATAAGAAAATAGAGAATCGTTGCACACAAGGTATGCATCAGATCTGATATCATATGACCTTGTCTTTCCTCTCCATCCCCTTCGTTCCAAATAGTGTACGTACTAGAGCTAGCGGTGGTTGATCGTTCGGCGTCTGATGAATATGCACCCATCCACAACCAGTACACGCATTTATAGCCGTCGCTTCTGGCTGCCATGGCCATGGGTGGTGGGGTGGGGGTCGTGCGGCAGCCCATGCCTGCTGTATGCATGTGTGAGTGCGCGTTCTCGGAGCGCAGGCAGGCCCCGGCGCCTCGCCGGCTGGATGTCCGTGCCTGTGCTGTGACCGGCCCGCGCGGGGCTCGATGGGGGAGAAGACTTGCTGGTTCAGGACCTTGTTGCTCCCTGCCACGGCAACGCCCAGCTCAGGTGGGCACAAACACAGCTGCTCCACTCAACGAACAGTCATTGGTGGTTGACACGTACCGTCCGTGAATGCCACGTCGAAATATTAATATTTGTTCACCGTCCATAATTAAGTCGCTCGTAAAAACAAATCAAAAAGAGAGAAGTACATACTTTATTTTTTATTTTTTATTCTGAGGGGACTTTATTTTTATACCGAAAAAGGCTTTCGCCCCCGCGTTATATATAAAGCAACGATCCACAGTAAACCGGTACAAACGTACGCCACCACAACACACGCACACACCCAAGGCAGGATACATAGGCGCTGAACGCAGCAACACCACCCCTATCACTACACAAGTAATTGGTGACTCCCCCGTGAACATGCCACCACAAAGAGATGAAGCCGCATACGACGAACCATGTACTCTAAGACGGCGCCATCAGGAAGGTTACGATGCCGGAGCGACGCCGCCGCCCAATTTGAGGATCAGAGTTTTCCCTGAAGCAACAAGACTGACAATGAGAGCCGCGACGATGCCTTCAAGAAGGGAACGACCTTTGCCGCCGCCGCCCGATTTGAGGATCAGAGTTTTCCCTGGAGCAACACGACTGGCAATGAGAGCCGTGACGACGCCTTCAAGAAGGGAACG